TTTTAAGTGAGCTCAAAGCTGACTTCTGTTCCCTCTTATAAATATAGAGGCAGCGGCAGACACACACTGTCCCATTGATGCCATAACAGAGCTGAGAGGCAGGCAGAACAATTCATAAGGTTAGATGTTTGAGAAGGAGACCTTGCCCAAAAGATACTGTAATGCCAAGTGACTAGTTTAAATTTACACTGTATTGATTATTGTAGGCAGCTTTGTAGTTTGAAATGTGAGTTGCTGACTAATTTAGGGTGTGTGGGCTTGGAAGGTTTGATCATGTATTCTGACTCAGCACTCAAACCATTACTTTAAAAGATTTGACTCAGTTTAACTGTATGTCGTGAGTCATGAGCGAAATAAAACACATTCCTTTTGTGGTGTGTTTACTGTTTATCCTCTGTATAGAAGTACGGCTGGGTCATATATTGAATATTCCCAATATATTTGTTATGATTTTGCAGGCTATATATAACATGAAGAGACATCACAAATATCACATTCACAGTGAGTTTAATGTGCTTTTTAATTGGTTATTAATTTAATTTAAAGAGACATTTTGTAATAATTGGTTTTTAAACAAAGATTATTGGAGTACATCTTGCAATAAAATACTACTACCGCCTTTTTACTTGAAAAAATTAATTTAATGTGTTACTTGCCATCTCTTTGTAATAATTTGTGAGATTTACTAGCAATTTTTGAGTGAAAATAGTTTCAAAGTAATTATTTTTTCAATGTATAAATATATTTTGCATTTTGCATAAGAGGTATAAGCCAAAGATTGCATTTAAAGGAAAATTTATGATTCAGTGTGTGTGTGTTTTAGTGAAAAACCTTGTTTTTTATTATTTTTAACTAGACTTTTATTTACTTTGTTTGGCCACAATGGTTAATCTGATTATACTTCTAAGCAATTTCAGAATAAAATACTTGGATAACAAGATTGTTTTTGGGTTATGAGTGAGAATAGCATAATGGCATAATTTCTTATGGAGTTTGAGTCAGTCTTTCTGCTGTTTTTGATGTCCTCCATTCACATTAGTTTCCTCTCTGATATCTCTCTCACTTTTGGAAGCTCTGCTTTTCCAGAGGCTTAAACATTCATTTTTACTATTTGGAGAAGGTTTTATTTACTTTTGTTTGTAAATACCACTCAGTCTGTTCCAGATATATTAAAAATAAGTTAAATACTTTTATAGTTTCCAGTTCTGTGAGCGATTATAGTAAACATTGGTTTTGGCCTATTTTTATGTGTGAGGATTTAGGCCAAATGTAATGGAAACTTACTGTTCCATGAGGCAGCATTACTTTGTGAAAATCCCCGTTGAAGAGCAGAGCAGATTGCTGTAATGGAAAGAGATATGGCTGGAAGGAGGGATTGAGAGATAAAGAAATGGAGGGAGGGTACCTTTTCTGGAAGTGTCCACTGTCCAGGTGTAATCCACCTGCCCGGGGCAAACCAGATGGCGTGGTCTGCCATAGTTCTTAAAGGAACGGTTCACCCCATAATAAACTGTGTCATTATTTGCTTAGTTTACATTATTTAATTTAAGTATAATTTTTTAGGCTGTAACTTTAAAACGAGTGTTCTTAATAATTAGGTAATATGTACAAAAATGATTGATAATTCATGCACTGTAGAAATGGGGTGGCGTACAAATTTCGTGGTGTGTTGTTGGTCCCTAAGCGACTGCCAACCCCAGTTTCAACTCTGCCCCGCCTCTCACACGTGTGGTACATTCTAGAGTCTAGTTGTCCTGATCTCCTCAGATTTGCCCTGTTTAGCTGAAGCATTATGCCCTGTTCTGTCTTGCCCTCACTGCAATGAATATGTGTTTTTGTCATGCTGCGCTTATGCTCTGCTGATTTGAGCAGTTAAAATGGCAAATCTGCAGTTGTTGATTATATCTACATATTACATGTAGAGGTCGACCGATAGTGGATTTTGCCGATACTGATTGCTAGGTTGGACCACACTGGCTGATACCGATTAATTAACCGATAGTTTTACAATTGATACTGAACAAAAACTAAAATAGTGCTTTATTAACAAAAACAGTACTGAACCATACTAGTAGTAGTAGTAAAAAAAATTATAGTAAATGTTGAAATTAACACACTCTAACAAGGAACAATACTTACACAGCTTTCATTAATCTTAATGCTACAACTGGACTTTTATTTTAAAGTGTTACCATTTAATTTCAACTGTCATGCTTAAAGATGCACATCTTTAAATATATACACAAAGGCTATAGCATTACAATTATATACATATGGATATTATATGTATACTCTCACAATTTAACTGCTTCGATTCTTGAACACTTGATGATTATCTAATCAAAATAAAAGCGCAGCGCTGAGTCTAGGAGAACTCACCGGTATCACACACACTCCGGACGCATCACGTTCAACTCGAGCAGCGGTCTAAAACAGTTTACTTCAAGAATGAACAATTTGGCATGGATGAGTTTGACGTTCGGTGTTTAAAAAACGGAGCAAACGGAAAGAGAAAGCACGACCTATATTATAGCTCTATAAATGAAGCACACAGACTTTATTAGAGCCACAGAAAGACAAACGTTTTGCTGAAAATGCACAATACACAATTCATTATGTACATTAACAACGATTCGGGACCAATATAATGTAATTTAAAGGAAAACTATGTGAATGGCGCTCTGTGGCGCTGCAGGATTTTCTGTCGGCTGCATTTAAATCCGCGTCTGAAGTTTCCCGCTCTGTTCAGCGTGCAGTATCACGTGTCTAAACAAATAGCACGTGCTGTCAGTGATTTCAACCTCTAGAGGCTGCTCTCGCACTGTGTAATGACAGCAGACCCTTCTCAGCCGCTCCAGCAATGGACGCAACCCGGAAAACTATCGGCATGGATTTTTGTCGATAACCGATAGTTCCAGCAATCAACTATCGGTGCCGATTAATCGGCAAAACCGATACATCGGTTGACCTCTAATTACATGTATATTTTAGGACTAGGATGATTAATGCATAAAAAAGACTGTTACATCGGCGCCAATAGCCTCGTGGTTAGTGCGTCGACACATAGTGCAGCTGCGCTCACGGCGACCCGAGTTCGATTCCCGTCTCGAGGTCCTTTGCTGATACTGCTCCCCTCTCTCCTCCCAGTGCTTTCCTGTCATCTCTCTACTGTAGTATCTCAATAAAAAAGGCATTAAAGAACTGTTACATAAGTGAGATAAGTGCAGGCATTTAAAACATGTTGTCTCAGCTTCAGGGAATGTGATGGGGTTAGACATGCCCACTGCTTCTCTCACTGCCCCCTCTGCATCTTATCAGTAGCCGGCTCCGTTCTCTACTTGAGTCTATCACAGCTTCTGTAAACTGTTCCTCCATGAGACTGGACTGTTTTAATTCTTTAATCTGTATTCTTTGTATCATGTTCTGTATGACATGTTTGTGTATGTGTTTGACAGTCCAGTTCCAGCACAAAGTTTCACTCTGAAGGGAGTTGGCGGTCGACATATTTCACGTTGGGTTCATTTTTATGTAGATTTACTCCATTGAGACACATTGTGGCTCTGATGTTAGATTCTTTCCTAATGAGAGAGTGCAAGTACGTTGGCTTGGGCATGATTGCAGCTTCACTGAGCATTTTCCTGGCTTTTGGGATGGGCCAAAACACGGCTCCAATGTCCACTGCCAGCCTCTTCTCAATACATTTCTCTTAAGCTGCATTTGTGGCAAATATTATGGGTTTATAATCTAGAACTTAAAAACCAGATGAATTGAACAGTCTATACCACGTCCCTTTGCCTTAAAATGAGTTAAATTTAGTGATAAAATAGCATTTATAGAAGAGATCACGTATGAGATTGCTACAAAACAAAGATGTGTTTTACAAGAGACAATGAAGTATTTCATCAGGGATAAACACACAAGACAAAAGGCAGCTGCCGCTTGTGGCTGGACTCAAATAAACAGTTCTTCTCTCTGAATGAGCACATAGCTGTGTTCATGTGTGATTTAGAGATTTGGTTTCACAACCCCCTCAATGGCTTTGTGTTGATTAATACAGCAATAGCACAGACATTACATTGTCTGTGTTAGTATTTTATTTCCCTCTGTAATGAAGCACATAATGTCTGCCATGGTTCAACTGCGGGTGTAACGCATATATCCAGGTGTTATACTGAAGTAATCTGCCCGTAAAGAGGTGCCACAGTCTCTGAGAAAACCTCACGAGACTCGAATCTAGCAAGCCGTTTTTTTCAGGTTACATGATCAGTGTTTAAAAAAAGTTCGAAAAAAACAGCTTATTTAAATCTTTTAAAATATTTTATAAAAAAAATTATATTTGTAAATTCAAATGAATGAATGACTAGTCAGCTAATCATTCTTATGGAAATCATAAATAATTATTTCTGTAGATGTAATGTGCTAAAGGGATGACAACAGGTAAACCGCAACACACTGTTAGCATACTAATTGAAGCACTGCATCTGAAAATATCTAAACTAAAAGATATATAAATATTAAAAAAACAAATCTGTTTTTGAACAGTTGTATTCATGTCTTGGTTACCATCAGAGATTCAGAATGCTGACTGTTGTGTCATTCATACTCATAAAATAAGTTTGCATGATATCATCTCGGCTACTATTTATATGAAAGCTGTCAAATGTTAAAGCAAGTTGCCACAAAGAAGAAGGCAGAGGAAAAGACTGTGTGGAGAAGATGAAGAGAGACGTAGAGCTGAGAGTGCAGCATGGGTATTGGACAGAAGCCACAGAGCTAAAGTAAATACAGTGTGGCATGTGAGTTACCTACATAGAGTCCAGCGAAGGAGGTTAAAGCATACAGTGTGCCAGACCTGTTCATTAGCCTATTATACTACTATTTCCTCTGAGAAGAGTGCAAGGCAGCAGACGCCAGGGAAAACTGCATGAGTGCTGCTATCTCAATGAAAATGTGACATGAATGGTTTTAACTCTGTCTCTATCTCTCTCTCTCTGTTGCAGGAATATAACATGACCAGATTAAACGGATAAAACCAGCCACTCTTCAACACCCAGAATCATATGGTGAAAATGAAACATCTGCATCTTTGAATGCTTAAAATTAGCCAAAAGTAGATCACAGACCCTTCAAGATTTACAGAAATCATCTAATTAGTCCATATCATCCTTTTCTCTTCACTCTTGCCCTTCTCCAGTCAAAACCGCAATGTACGGTAGTGCCCGATCCGTGGGCAAAGTGGAGGGCAACCACAGTGGTGGGAGCAATCAGAGTCCCGGCCGCTCGCCCCATCTCCCTCGCTCGCCCCGTCTGGGCCACAGTCGCACCAACAGCACAGGGGGCAGTGGAGCCGGCGCGGGAGGTCCAGGTGGTAAAACCCTTTCCATGGAGAACATCCAGTCTTTCAACGCTGCCTATGCCACATCTGGTCCCATGTACCTGAGTGACAACGAGGTGATGGCGTCTGGCCCGGACCTGCCGAAGAGCACCATGACGCTGGGCCGCTCGGGAGGACGGGTGCCTTACGGCGTCCGCACGACCGTCATGGGATCCAGCCCGAATATCTCCACCGGGGCTCCCAGCTCCATTTCCACCGATGCTATCGCTTTCGGAGACCAACATATGCCTTCCACCCTTGCGTCCACTGTGCCTCATTCACTGCGCCAGGCGCGGGACAACACCATCATGGACCTGCAGGCCCAGCTCAAGGAGGTGCTTAGGGAGAACGAGCTTCTGCGGAAGGAGGTGGATGTGAAGGAGAGCAAACTCAGCTCTTCCATGAACTCCATTAAGACCTTCTGGAGCCCTGAGCTGAAAAAAGAGCGTGCCCTGCGCAAGGACGAGGTGTCGAAGATCACTGTGTGGAAAGAGCATTACAGAGTCATCCAGGAGGAGAACCAGGTGAGAGGAGGTTTACGTGGATTTAAGACATATTCGCAATGCATTTTATTTCTGTAATGTGACACATCTCTGCGTGAATCTGAATATTTGGCAGGAAATAATGTAGCCTTAGTTTTGATGACTTTTATGCTTGCACCTTATAAAATAAAAAACAATATTGGTAGGAAAAACAATATTGGTAGGGATGCATGGATATTAAAATTCTGGCTGATAAGCCATAATTATTTTCAAGCTATGGCCAGTAAATAAATTACAAATAAACCACTAAATTTAAGTGAATGTTCATTTTGAGATTTATTAAAGATTACCTTTAACAGTGCTCTTAAATTAGGGTTTTTAAAGATTAAGTAAATTAAAAGATTTAAAAGTTTTAGACATTGGCAAAATGGAAATGAGCATGAACAATTAAATATACATTAAATTACATTCAATTTACAATTAACCAACATGTCATGCATCCCTAAATGTTGCTTTTTTCTAATCTCGTTTTTTTCTTACTTAGATGTTGGTCAGTTAAGTGTCTAAATATGGTTTCTCTTCTCTTCTGTAAGCTGGAATATACTGGTCATAATACTGCAGTATTCAGTAGCGAAAGGGCTTCATCTGCGAAACGGTGCACCTGGCACTGAAAATATTTTTTTATTGCAGATTGGATCTGATTACTGAAGAACATCAGTACAAGGCATTTAAGAAATAGCTCTATTTGTCTTTTAGTGTTGTTTTCGGAAATGGCTTGCCGAGAGCCATCAGACATCTCGAATGAAGCTGAATCAAAGCAGTTTGTTTGGTTCACTAGATAAGTGGATCTTTTTTGTTTTTGCATAAAATGGACAACTATTCAACAAAGTCTATATGACTTAGCTGCAGATTCCTGCTCTTTTCCTTTCAATCTGAATTTTATTGTAGACTAATATAGCATTTTAAAACATCCATTTCTCTTCTGCAGGCCATAGTTTAACACATGCCCATCCTGACATTTGACTTTTTATCCTCCTTCATTCGTGCTGGATTTTAGCTCTGGTGTAAGCTGTAATTTAGCATTTTCCCATGTATTTTTAGGGCCTGCAGTCTACAGCATGTGGCATAGACATTAACTGTTATCGTTATACCACCACCTCTTTTCAACAGGAAGATGTTTTTATGTATTTAGTCTAGTCTATGCAAGTCTGGCATAGCCTGAGTTTTCACCATTGGCATTTGGCAAAGAACTGCCAACTTAAGGAAAGACTGTCTGTACCCCGCAGTGTCTGTAGAGTTAACTTTGAACTCAGTTGGATGTCAGAGACCTTTAACACTCAAATGGTCTTGCTGCATGTGACTCTGGCCCTGCATTGCTTCTGCTTAGGCTGAACCGTGAGGCTAATGAGGGGCTCGTCGTCATTGCCTTTGATGCCTTTCATTCACACCGCCTGTTTGATGAAGGCTTGGGTGACGTTTTTGGGTAATCCGGTGCAAGATGGGTGGGTTTTAACCCATATGACACCCCACTCGGTCTGCTTAGTAAAGTAAGCTGGAGCATTTGACTGATGAAATCAGGTTCTGTCATAAGAGGGTTTATCTAGATGAACTAGATCAATATTCAAAAGAACCTTGATCAGTTAAATGAACACGTCAAATTCTCAGGAGAGAGAGGCATTCAAAGGAGGGATAAAGGAGCAGGAATGAGTGGAATGAGGCTTGAATGCTCCTTTGAGACCTGTTCAATTATGAGATATGATACAGCAAACCCCTTTAGTCAGCCAACTCTCATTCATTTGCCTCCTCTGCTCATAGCTCTCTCTTCATTCATTCAGTCCACATGCTAGTTCACTGGATTCATGAGCACGCTTTCTCTCTCTTCCGTTTAGGGATGCATGAATAATACAATTCTGCCTGATATGATAAACAATACTTACTACTAATTATTTTTAAAAAGACTTTTTGGCTGATAGTACAAAAAAAAGGTCTAATTTTTTTTATAATATTTTTATTGAAATAGTAAAAAATGGCAGATTTTTTTTTTCTAAATACATTTTCATTTGTCTTAAAGAAAAGAAAAGAAAAAAAACTTTAATATTTAATATATTAAGATTTTCTAAAGATTATATTTAACAGTGTTATTCTATTAGTTATATAATTATTAGTGTTTTTAAAGATTACGCAAACATTAGATGATTACAAAGGTAATCTAAATGTAAAAATTGTGGAAATGAGTATTCACAATTAAATATATTGCTATATATAATTTATTTACTAATAATTTTATAGAATGGATATAGAAAACAGTTATTGAAAATTGCAATACGCTTTCACTGTATTTTATGGCATTTTTGTTCAAATAAATGATCAAGTCATCAATTAAAAATTGGAGAAATGAGCATGCACTCTTAAATATGTGATTTTATATAGCCAAAATATATGCAATATTTACTAATAGTTTAAAAAAAGAATAGAAATAGAAAACAATTATTTTTAATTGCAATAAGGTTTCACAGTATTTTTCTGTATTTATTTTTTGTATTTTTCTCAATAAGATTTCTCAGAAATTACCAATTGATCGATTAAAAAATGGGCAAATGAGCATGCTCAATTAAATATGCAATTATATAGCCAACATATATGTTTTATTTACTAATAATTAAACAAATTACAGATTATACTGTGTCATGCATCTCTATTTCCTGCAGTATATTGTGACAGTCACTCTCTCTGTAATAAATACCTTTTTTATTATTATTTGTGATATGCATAAATGTGAACATGTTGTTTTGTTAATTTGGATTCAAATGAATCTCATTTACTTCCAGTGCATTGTGAACATCTGCCGTGACATTCCCAGCATTAGCAAACACGTTCACGTGAGCAAAGCCAATCGGGTGTCCATTTGTGTGTGTTTTCCGTAAGTGCATATATCTGCCCTCTGAGGAAGTGAGAACAGATGGCAGACGCGGCTCCTGATGCGTTTACTGTAGTAGTGTTGTAAAAGGTCCAAAGATTCGCACCCCAATCCCACAATCTCCTTATCAAGTAGTGTCACTTTTCACAGCCAAGTTCCGCCCACACTAATATTCACCGTTCCGGTCAGACTGTTTGTTCCTAATCCAAAATGTTTGAGTCACATAGTCAGATGAGATGAGAACAGATAGTGTAGGGGTTTGTTTGCTGTGTCATGTCAGTAAATGTAACCTAGAAGGGTAGCAGATGGTCAAGGGTGGAGTCAGGGGTCATCAAGCTCCACACTCTCTCTCAGAGACATCACATGTTGAGCTCAATGACTAAGAACCATGAAAATATCTTGCATGATTTTCTTATTCAATACTTCCTGTCGTCCTACTTGGCCCGATTAAGGTTTGTGGGCTGTATTTACTCATTATGTAATAGATAATTAGCTCATTACTCACAACAGAATGACTGTGTCATACAATATGCTGTGTGTTTACACTGTAGGATCAGAATGGAGCAGGACCGTATGTAATGCTGTGCCATATTAGACAGGAGAACAAAAATCTCAAAATGTTGCATGTTGTAACAAAAGATTCAAGATTTAACTTTAATATTTGGTCTCTTAATCTTGAACATTATATATATATATATATATATATATATATATTTTTTTTAATGTTATTTATTTTTTGGCAAAATTTGTAATTTACTTGGGATCTAACCAAATATTAAAGTTTACAGTTTATTTCTAAAATAGGCTATATACTGTATATATATATATATATACACACACAATTTTATATACTGCCAACTTAAAACTACACTGTTTTATTACAGACATGAATGATATCTTAAATTTGTATGACTTGATACAACCACATACCAACATGCTAAAAATGACACAGAACAAAACTACGTCCTGACAATCACTCACATCACATTGGTATCATGGCAACAAAAAGATCTAGTTTGTCTCTGCAAGAACTGTTTTAATTTTATTTTAAGTCTCTTAAAGAAGTCTCTTCGAGTCTATAAAACCACCAGGAGAATAAGGAACAAAATGTCCAGTAGGTCTTCCATTGTTTGCTCGCATACTCTGTGGTGATTAAGGAAAGAAAATGTTATCTCTGCCATCTCATGAGCGAGGTAGTAAAAGTCTGGAAGAAAGAATGCAGGGACGACAGATCATATTTTTATCCGTTCTCACCACGGGACTGTGAGCCGCTGCTCTTTGGCAGACGCGGCGGCCCTTATATGGAGTCTGGTCATGCAGGATAGGTGTGGAATGAACAGAATCCATGCATATGGTTACACCGACCTCCTTTTCGTCTCCTCTACTTCACTGTCCCGCTCTCCCTCACTCGGTATAGTTCACACGTAGGAAAAACACTGAGAAAGTTGGAATATGAGAGGCATTGAGATGAACAGATGGGAAAGAGAGAGGAAAAGAGGTGGTAAATAGATGTTTCTTGAAGCTTTTAAAGGGTCCATGACTTGAAAAAAGGTTTGCTGTACTACAGTAGGTAGATGCTCTGAACTTTTAAGCCTTATGTTTAGGATCTCTGCTGCTTTGGATGCTGCGCTACTACAAGGGAGCAAGAAAGAGCAGGTTTGCTTTGTCCACTACTGCCGTACTTCCCAAAACCCCCACTGACTGCGCAGATGGCCCCTCTGACATGCTGCATTAAGATTAAGCCCTTGTGATCAGCTCCATTCTTCCTGTCAGTCAGCAGGAGTCCCACCCACCTTCAAGGTGTTTATACTGTACCTACATGTTTATCTGTATTTGGACATATCCGACAGAACCTAGAAGAAGCTGAAGTGGTCTGCCGTAAGGGTTAGATGTATTTCTAAAGTCAAAAAAAACAAAAAACAGAAAATGAGGGCTATTTTCTGGACCATTAAGATTTTTTTGCATTGTTGCATTTATTATATATGGCAATTATGCTGATTTCCTTTCACAATTGTCCATAGCATCCAATTTGTAGCATTTATTCTACTAGATTTAATTGAAATATATTTTAATAAAATAAATTCATACATATATTGTATTGTGTACAAGTATATAAATTTTGTAC